GGAAGAAGTTAAAGCTTATATGGTGGTCACCCATGAAGCTAGTTAATAAAAGATTGCGGAGAACAGGATGAAATTGAAATTAGATAGTTGGAGGCAATCGGCCACAGGAAGCCTTGGACCTAGGTTTCGTGCTACTTGGCACTCACCAGTCAGCAAGGCGTATCTGCAACCTTGAAGGAACTCATGTCCCTTCTGAGATTCGAACCCGCGTCACCCAGTGCTGCAGTCAGAGATGTTAGCAGTGAGCTATTCGGGTTCGCGATTGACCTCTTGCTGACGAGTGCCAACTAGCACGAAACCTAGGTCCAAGGCTTCCTGTGGCCAATTGCCTCCAACTATCCAATATCATCAAATCAATGTGCACCGTGATGGCGAGCTACCTAGAATGGTTGCCACATTGCAAACCTGACTGATAGAACTCAGTCTGCACCAAAGAAAGGACTAGACACGTCACACTCGTTACTAGTGTCCAATCAGAATACAAGATGAAATTGAGATGTACATTTGTAGTCCTATATTTCACTTGGAACATGAAGGAATTGTAAATAAAATTATTTAATAACCAGAATTTTTGCTCTAAACTGATTATTTTTAAATTTGAACAGAGACACAACAGACAATGGTGCAGAAAAATATTGATCCACTTTATTTCTTTGGTCCTTGTTAGCTGCGTACAACATTTTCTTTATAATCATTAATCAGCACTCAAGTAAGGGTTACTGTAAGAAGGTTTTAAGTGATTGAAAAAAAAATTTCATAAATTGGTGATAAAGTTATGTAGGCAGATAGGCAAATATTGATCATTGATTCAGCCCAAAAGAAACAAAACGCCTCAATGATCAATTTGATGTGTTCAGTTGTAAGAATTAAGAAAAAACCAGAACTTCAAATGAACACAGAGAAGACGAAGATGATCAAGATAACCAACCAACCAACAATAAGCACCATTAAGTAAAAACGAGAGAATTTTCAAAAAGCCTCAGCATATTTCAATTGCTAGAGAGTGCGTCGGTAGCACAGCGGTTAGGACGCTCGCCTACCATGCACATGGTCCGGAGTTCGATTCCCGGCCGACGCACTCCTTTACCTCGCTAAGCTAGTAGTAAGACTGGTAAAGCGGAAAGGTTGGGCATGAGGCTAGCAACCCCATCCTGTAAAAATTAACACTGCTACGGAAACTTCAAGCCTCTAGTTTGAAGCCCTATGTTCCACTGGGAACGTGAAGGAAAAAAAAGAGGGCCTTTCTACAGGAGATATGCAGATGATATCATTTGGACATGTGATGACCATGGAAATGCCAGTCGTCTATTAGATAGACTTAACTCTGTAAATAATCATTTAATGAATATATGCGAGGAAGTAAATCGAAACAATCTTGCATTTTCAGACACACTGCGTCAAAGAGATGATGGTTTAATAAAGCGATTAATTGACAGAAAGCCCACTTGGATAGGGCAACACTTTAATTTGTCACAGCTTCTCTCCACTACAGTATAAGAGAGGTTTGGTAAAATGTTTATTTAAGAGGAGTCAAAGTAGAAATGAAATAATAATGGATACTCTTGTCGAAAATGGGTATCGTTTACAATTTTTAAACAGGAGTAGAAGTCAATTAGTCTTTAAACCTACAATATATACCACCCCTAAGAAAACTGTCTTCATCAAATCACCATAGAACGGGAAATAAATAGTTGGATTTTGAGGGAGAGATTAAACTCGGTCATTCGTGGGATCTGTTACGCAGCCCGGCTTGTAATCACTGAAAAAGCCAAAATTATGTTCCACCGCAAACCTCAAAAGCGCACAAGTGATTATGTCAGACCCCACAATATTTACCAACTTTCGTATGTGTATGGACACACATACATAGACAGAAGTAATCGTGCTTTGCAAGTGAGGGTGAGAGAGCATATTCCGAAATGGTTACAAAGACAGGTGAACTTTGAAAAATTAATAGACGCAGGTAGAAAACTATCGACTACCTCTGTAGCCAAACATCTAATCGACGTGAACCATAAGATTGACGTGAACACAGCTTTTCAGGTCATCTATAAAAATGGTCAAGGGCGCTTATTGAAATATGATGAAGCTATGGCCATTCAGATCCAAATTTATAAGCAAATTACTACTGAAGTAATCATTTCTCAGTTTTTTTATTAAAAGGGTATCTTGATACATTTCCTTGTTCTTCATCAGCTCCGTGCACATCAAAATGGTAGGTAATTTATTTGAAAATAACCTTTTTGCGTGGACACACACACACCTAATGAATACTGGTCATTAAAGTAGACGATTGTCTGTATTTATTATTATTATTGTTCCCTTGGGTTCCTAGTTGAACATAGGGCTTCAACTACACATCTCCACTTGCTTCTGTTTTCTGCTGTACTTTTCACCTGCATCCATGTTAGTCCATACTGTTTCAACTCTTCCTCACACGATCTCCTCCATGTCACCCTTGGACGTCCCACTCGCCGCTTCCCTTTCGGGTTCCCCTCGAGCTATGGCCTGACGCGCGATGTCACCCAGCGGCCTCCTCAGCTCAGCGAGTGTCCAATCCATCTCCACTTTCTCCTGCATATTTGTTGGGCGATTGCTTCTTGTTTTGTTTGTTCCCATAGTTTCTTGTTGGTGATTCTTCCAGGCCATCTGATCTTCAGTATAGAGCGAAGACAGTTGTTGATAAAGGTCTGCAACAGGCTGTTGGAAATATTCTTTGTGACTCGCCAAGTTTCTGATCCGTATAGAAGAACTGACTGACTTGATGTTTGCATTGAAAATCCGAATTTTGTTGTTGATGCTGAGCTGAGTGACGAAGATTTCCAGTTTGGTTTAAGGTGGATGTCTGTATTTAGGTTCACTCATATTCGTACAAATGTATATTTATGAGATTATGAAAATCAACGATAAACGGATATAACTGAAGGTAGTTAAATAATTCTTTATCACTATGTGCGGTGGACTGGATAATGCGACAGACAGCAGGCAGCCATGAAACAGGCATAAAAGTGACCCACACAAAAACTTGGAGGATCTGAATTTCGCCGATAACATATGTATGTCTGATTTCCCACAAACTGGAAGATATGCATGTGAAAAGCAGCAAGTCGGCAAAAGAAGCATCCAGAGAAGGTAGGACTTCCTTCAGGTAAACATAGATAAAACACAGGTGATGAAGATTATCGGCCATCAGCAACAGCCACAACAACAACAACAGACAACAGTGGGCATGGATGAGAGAAATCTGAAAGAAGCAACCTCCTTTACCTAACTACTTGGGAAGCATCGTTTCAACTACAGGCGGAGAGAACTGACAAGGGTATCAAAGCAGGGATAGGGAAAGCAAGCCAAGCTTTCATTTCTCTCAAGTCTGTGTTGAGATCAACAGCACTCAGCATGAAAAGTAAGATCCGGACTCTCAACTCCAATGTGAAGTCAGTGCTACTACATGGATCAGAGACTTGGCGCCGCGTCACGAAGCGCACTTTGAACAAACTACACACCCTCATAAACAGCTGTCTTCGCTCAATACTACTCAAGACCAGATGCTCAGCCAGAAAAGATCAGCAGTAGGCAGGGACCTCTGGGAGCAAACCAACCAAGCAGGAAGCGATTGTGCAACAGATATGCGAGAAGAAATGGAGGTGGATTGGTCATACTCTGAGAAAACCATAAAGTGAGTGACATCACACACCAGGCTATCTCTCGAGTGGAACTCAAACGGGAAGCGGTCAGTTGGTTTTCAGTGCAAGGGTGACATGGAAGAGGTCATGTGAAGAGGAGATGGATGCATGTGGGCGGGCGTGGAGTCAGGTGAAAACGTCGGTGGAGTAAGGAATGCAATGGAGACGTTTGGCTGAAGCCCTATGTTCCTCTAGGAATTAAAGCAAAAAATAATAAAAATCAACCACAACAAATAACAATTCACCAGGAAACACATGGCTAAGAAAACAGCAAAAGACTACTCACTATCCGTAAACAAGAAGCCTTTAAACATACAACTTCAGTTCAAAGGCGATGCACCTAGCGAAATAATTTCGAAAGAGTTAAGAAAAACGTTTCAAAGAACTTTTAATGCTGGCAAATTACAAGTCTTATTTTCTAGAAAACTGGTGGTGATTCCCCATTTGAAAGATGAAGTACCTGGACTAGCCACTTCTAATTGTATCTACCAATTCAGCTGCACTTGTGGTGGAGCGAGTTACATTGACCATTGCTCTGGGAACTTGATTTTTCATGCTCACTCGGGAACATCTACCGTTGTGGCTAACTAAAGGTGTAATAAAAACCATCAACAGTTCCATATTAGACCACCTGGTCCAAACCGGCTGGCAACAAAGCCAACATTGAAGAATCCTTCTCCATTATCTAACGGATAACAAATAAATTGTCAAAAACATCCAGGTATCGCATACTCCTAAAAGCAGTGGCTATTGGGATTCACGTGAAACAACCAGTGCTCTGTGTGCAAAAGAAGCAAGTCCAGCCAGCCACTTCTTCCGCCCTGGCCTGCCTTCAATGGAGACTATAAATTCATGAATTTCTTTTATTATCTATCCTAATTTTACTGATATTCACTCAGTGTATTGTTATGTTGATGCTACTGAACTGCAACCTATCGGTATTATCATCGATTCGATGTTCTCAAAAAAAAATTATGTTGTTATTAACACTAATTCATTCCCTACTATTATGTATTTATAACTGTAGAACCTGAAGAGGAGAAAGTCATCGAGAAGAATATTCTTTGTTCGTCCAGTAACCACTCTTTTGAAAAACATTTTTTTGAAGGGCATTTTTAATCAGTTGCAATAAACTTTTACTTATATTTGTGTCAAATATGGATTACAAAAGGAAGAAGAAGAAAATAACCGTAAAGACAGAATCAGAACTGTACAAAAATAGTGTTAATATATACATAAAAATAGATATATATATATATGTATATGTATATATGCTTTATATGCATTTATACTGTATACATAAATACCTGAGTAATATACCTCATGATCTTTGCATCATCATCAAAATATTAAAAAGTAAATGCGATCACTGATCACATTATCTATCATCTATCTATCAATCATCACTACATCTGATCAACTCTTTCTGTTGTTTGAATTTGATCCCGTGAAAAATTAACAAACACTTGATCTAGTGTTGTCTGTTTCACTGAATAGTGTTCAATGATACTGTCATGCTGCATATCTTTTAAAAATGTTAATAACTCTGACAAGCGGACATCTTTACCCATTTGATATTCATAATAACGTGTTTGTATTTCATTGATAGTTGAAGTAGGAAATTTGCGTTGAAAGTCTATTTTCAATTTGTTAATAGCATCATCACTGGTCAGGGGATTTATGCGTATTTCAACTGTATAACCATTACCAAAACGATTTTTTAAATGTTGTATACTACCGAAACATTTCAACTGGCCATTTATCATAATTCCAATACGTTGACATAACGCTTCACATTCTTCCATACTATGCGATGTAAGTATAACAGATCGACCGTCTTTAACAAGTGCAATAATTTGATCCCACATAAAACGTCGTCCAACTGGATCCATACCACTAGTTGGTTCATCTAATAGAATAACTTGAGGTTTGCCGATAATTGCAATTGCTGTGGATAATTTACGTCGATTCCCACCGGAATACGCTGAAGCAATACGATCAGCATACGGTGATAAACCCATATTTTGTAACATTTTTGTTACAGCTATGGGTATTTCTTTCTCAGGGAAACCACGTAATCGTGCATATAAACTTAGTGTTTCTCTGCCTGTCAGTAATTCGTGGACAGCATCAAATTGAGGACAGTAACCAAGACTTTTATGAGCATTTTTAGTCTGAGTAACGACATTGAAACCATTGACAATTACACTTCCCATAGAAGGATGTAAATCACCTGTTATCATTTTGAAGGTTGTTGTTTTTCCAGCTCCATTCACACCTAACAAACCAAAACATTCTGCCGGACGAACTGCAAATGTAAGCGAGTTAACGGATGGTTTGTTTTTGAGTGGGAAGAATTTTGTTAAGTTTATTATTGCCACTGAATATAATGAATTTATTTGACCAGATTTATACGCCTAGATGAACAAAAATATTTAAGAAAAAAAAAGGAAACAGAAATAATAATGCAGAGATAACATAAGTGATGTGACACAAATTGTTTGCAGATTTCAGTGAATAAAACTCATTCAATGTAAAATAAAACTAACTTGGAAAAAGTTAAAAACCTTTTCTGGATGAATTTAAGAAACATAACGCATAGCTTTGATGTTATAAAACTCCTAGTCAGATCCAGTTAAGCTGCTCGCACACGCCGGGATTCGGACCCAGGACCTCCTGAGCACAGGGCGAGCTCGTAAATCATTGAGCCACTGGGACCCGAACCAATGGTCCTTGAATTCTAACTTCTGCCAATTCACCACATAGCGCGACCATTTCGCAATGTCTTCTTCGATGAGTTACTGCCTCATCTTCAACCTGCTGTACCTTACTGGTCACGGCTTCCCACTAGAACCCCAGGTTAACTGCCTGAATAGGGCCAGTCACTAGTGAGCATCAGATTAATTTTCAAGTATTGGTTTGGTAGGGATTTTGTTTAATTTTATGGAGGATTTCATCATGAACTGACATCAGTTAGTTCAACCACAGATTGATATGAGTTAGAGAACTAGATTGGAAAACCAATGGGTAATGGATAGCTGTTTCATGCTAATTCGAAACTCATCATCAGTACACACTCACTGGGGTTCTTTGAATAAATATGTATTTCCTGCTGAACTATCATGCGTTATCTTGATTGTGATAGATAACAAATGTATTTTATTTGCTTTGAAAATTATATGTACCTGGTTCCATATAAGTTAGAAGTAATATAGATAACTAAACAACATCAACAGCAACAAAAACCAGCACCAATCACCATCAACTGGAGAGATCTTACAGAGGTTACCTCCTTCACTTATCTGGCCACGAGGCATCTTTTCAACCACAGGCGGAATGGATGAGGATGTCAAAGGTGGCCAGAATCGGAAAGGCGAAATATGCCTTGATCGATCTGAAACCAGTTTGGAAATCTTCTGCACTGCACTCAACCAGCCAGCCAGTATAGAGAACAAGATTCGGATTTTCAACACAAATGTAAAGTCAGTCAGTCAATTCTTCTATGACAGCCATAAACTTGGCCAGTGCGCATCATGAAAAGGATTTCCAACAAGTTAGGAACTTTTACCAGCAGTTGCCACCTTCGCTGACTCTATGCTGAAGATCAAATGGCTGCCCAGCTGACCAGAAAGAATTAGCAGCAACAAACTCTGGCTGACTGGGAACAAACCAACAGACGAGAGCTGGTGTTTCAACAAATGTGAAGGAGAAAATTGAGATGAACCTGGCATACGTTGAGGAGGCCGTCGAATGACAACATTCGCAGTACATGCCAATGCTCTAGTGGAATCCGAATGGGAAATGGCGAGTGAGTCTTCGGTACTAGAGTAACATAGAGGAAATGGTGTGAGTTAGAGGAGGAGATGAGATATTACGGGCAGTCGTGAGCCCAGATGAAAAGGATGGCAGAAAATAGAACAAAGTGGAGATGTGTTGTTGAAACCCCATGTTCCACTCTGAACCCAAGGGAATAGTAATAATAATATGAATGTAGTCAATTTCTTTACGGAGAGTCGGTTGATATACACAGTCAACTATTTGATTAAATTCACTATTCTGAAATTCCGTGACAGCTTACTTTGGAAACCCAAAGAGTTCATATCTATTTGATGCCATAAATAAAAGTCAAAAAAGGAGGCATGATTGGATTACGACACGTATAACTGACTGACAAGAATGGTTCTCAGTTACTCATCTATTGTATATTTAAAAAAGATTTATTAATGCTTGCAGAGAGCCTACGGAGGGTTGTTACCTAAAGTGGTGACAACCATTAGTGTCCATAAGGGAGGCCAACCCATTATCCCCATTTCTCTTTAACTGCATCATAGATGTACTAATGGACTTAACCCTAACTCACTTCAGCGACTCAGGGACTGACATGTTCCTATGGAATGGTCTTGCTGACTCAGAATACGCGGATGAAATAGTCCCACTCCTAGGTAAAGACGCTGACAAAATACAGAAGAGTCTTCTCAATACCTCGAGCAGCAATATTCGAATGTTCGGCATGCGATTTGCTCCCTTTGTCAAATGTAAGATGATGCTATTGGTCTGGGCTACATCGACTAATCCTAGCTTAAAGATAGGGAGTGAAGCGGTTGGTTGGTTTTGACCACTTCACTTATTTGGGGAGCTGCATCAGCTAGTGCCAGTGGGTTGATCGCTGACGAAATCTCAGAAAGGATGTAGAAGGCTTGTTTGGCATATACCAACTTACTCCATCTCTGGTATGGACGTGATATCCAGCTGGCTGTTGACCAAATGGCGCGTGTACTGCTCAGCAATCAGTTCGCTCCGTCCTTCTTTATTGCTGGCTGTGAAAAACGGCCACTGAAGGTGAAAAGCATGAAAAGGGTGGCTAGCTGTCGTTGACCATAGGTGTCTGCGTTCTATCTCCCGTGTTGAGCGGTATAATAAGGTGAGCAATTTTGAGGTTAGGCTTCGGCCGAGTGCTATGTAAGTGGAAAGGGAATTCAGTCGACGAAGTTGTGAAGTTACATCGACTGAGGTGGTTAGGACATGTGCTACGCATGCATCCCTAGCCATCACCTTCCTCGACAAGTAATGTTATCCGACATAGGATCGATTAGGCTGAAAAAGAACTGGTCGTGGCCAAAACAAAACATGGTATGAATCAATGAAATCCACAACAGTTAGTTTAGGCCACGTGGAGAGATATAGACTTCCTGGTTGGGGTGCTCGAGGTGGCAAAATCCATTGGCTGAGAACAATTGGCGATATGGGCGAAAATCTTTCTCAATGGCTGGTGCAGATGCATTCAGTGTTTATTGTTTATAATAACCAATGAAACTCTATTGTTCTTCCATAGTACTATTCTTTTTGGGCCACACTTCTGTTTACGATCTCTTTCTTGAATCTCGCTTTATTCTCTTCTTTTGCTTTGTGTGCTACACAGAGTGCGGCAACTCGAACTACTGCACATCAGTTCAAAGTTCCATGTTGAAACAAGTCAGTCAGTCATCCAGTTAATAAGGCTTAAATTATATTTCATCATGAATACAGCATACATCATAAACACTTTAGTATACTTTAACATCTACGATACAGTAATAATGTAGTGGAACCCAAAAAGGAAGCGGCGAATCGGTCTTCCGAGGGTGACATGGAGGAGGTCATTTGAAGAGGAGATGGACGCGTGTGGGCATACGTGGAGCCAGGTGAAAACGTTGGCGGGGAACCGAACCCAATGGAGATGTGCGGCTGAAGCCCTATGTTCCTCTAGGAACTAAAGGAAACAATAACAATAATAATGTAGTACTCAACATATTGAATAGCTCTCAATGCTTTTCACCTCTTGTCCAAACACCATGTATCTCTACATACCGACTGACTGAATTCCAGCATAGCACTTTGTACAGAAGTGCAGCTGTTCAAGTTGCCACACTCCCTCCACATAACACACACGAAGGAAGAAAAAAGTGGAAAGAAGAGATTCAAAAGAACAATGATAGACAGAAATTTAACATTGAAAAACAGTTGGGTTTAATGGGTATAGGAGGTCAAGTAGAGTGAATGCATCTGCGCCATTGAGAACAACATTCAGCCGTATCAACAACTGTCTCTAGCCTTCATTGTTTTTTGGCTTCCTGAGGTACGCAGTCTGTCAATCTACACCTCAAACTAACTGCCAAAGATTTCATGGACTGACTCCAAGTTTTGGTTTGACTACTACTGTGGTGAGAGCTGGCTGCTAGCCAAAATTGGTAGATAGTTATTTAAGTCAATGTGTACGTCCCCAGTATTGGTCATGGGAAAAATAAGAACAAAGACTGACTCAACAACCAATCAGAGCAGACTTTGCGTAGGCGGATGCAAAATTCCAGATAGAAAATCTGAACTTCAATAAACGGCCACAGCGAGAAACCACCAATCAGAAGACTGTGTTTGTTTCCTTAAAATAATCTATAATAATGTACATGAAAATCTATAAATATCTGTTGATTTCGTAAATAAACGATCTGTTGCCTGGCCCTTGTCTTCTCTTGTTACACTACTAGCTCTTTTCCAACCCGATTCTATGTTAGCTAACACTGTCCGTCGCAAAGGGAGATGATTAGTTCTGAGTAACACATGCCCTAGCCATCATGACCGTTTTAACTTCACAACCTCAAAGACTGACTTTCCCTCCTACTTAGCACTAGACGCCTAACTCCAATACTACTCACCATATGATACCACTAAATACATGAGACAGAACACAAACATCTGTGGTCAAATACATCTAGCCTTTTCAGATCTTTCGACTTCAGTTGCCGTGTTTGACAGTCATAAAGGAGGAAGGAGAGAACTATTGCGCAGTACATACGTTCTTAGATCGAGAGCCAAATATCACATCTACTGCAGAGATGACGTAAGTGAGCGGATCTGACATGAGACTTCCGTATGCCTGCTGAGATTTCGTCACCAGTCAGTCTGTCGGGGCTGATGCAACTTTCCAAATAAGTGCAGTAGTAAACACGCCCCAGCACTTCACTTCCTATCTTTAAGCCAGGAGTCGGTGAATCCCTGTCCTGTAGAATCATCTTACATTTAACAGGACCAAATCGCACGCAAGACATTCGAAGACTTCTGCTCAAGGTGTTGAGCAGCGTCCATACCTAGAAGGAATATATCATCCTCACATTCTAAGTCAACAAGACCATTCCATGGTAACAAGTCAATCCCGAAGTCTCTGAAGTCAGTTTGAGTCTACATATGCTAAGATTGTATTTGCAGATGATAGTCTATATTTATCACTCGAAAAGTAAAAATCTCAATACTCGTACAAAATGACGCAGAATTGTAGGGATCTCTATTATTTTTTAAATATTACTCCTTTGCATTCGCAGAGGAACACAGGGCTTCAAGATTGAGCTTTGGATTTCCAGTAAGAGTGGTGTTGTTTTACAGAATG